CTCCGGTGAAATTTTACCGGATTTATATCGTCGGCATATAATCGTCACGGCCTACACAAAGAGCTTTCGGCGGTCGTCGGTATAGTCTTATCGAAAAGAAAATAATTATTATGATTCCACCCGTAAACGCTCTGTATAATATATAAAAACTATAATACCTACGTAGGTACATAATGATATGGTGGCCGAGCATAATGTTTTAGTTTCGATTTTCAATGAAAGTCACTTATAGCGATGAATTGAGGTTTCGAGATTTTCTTTTTTGTCGAACAATTGTAAAAATTACAAATAAAAGCTTCTCGATGTATGCATAATAATATTATATTATACATGAAATGATATACATAACATTCGTATTAAACGTTTACATTTATTAATAATAGCGCTTTTATGCGTCTTGTTTTTGCGATCGACCGAAATGCATTAATCAAAACTGTTACAGTTATACCTACATACTTAATAACCATCTAGTCTTATACAATAATATAGGTAGTTTATATTATATACCATGTCAGAATGTTCAATAGTCATTGATATTTTGTTCGAATTTCTCTAATAGAAATTAATAACAATTTCACTACCTATTATTATTTCTCTGTCACGAAAATTAATAAGCATTTTTTGTAATTGCATTTTAAATTATAATATAATTCGCATCAAATGCTTAATGCACTTAAGAAGAATATCATGTCAATAACACCTAGACAAAAATACGTTTTAGAAAATAAATCATGCTCTCATTAGATAAAGAAAATGGTAAAATTAAATGCCGAATTATAACTTACAGAATGGTAAATTGAAATCGTAAAATATAAATATTATAAATCGTATATTATGTAATGTTATATTCACATTAACGTACCAGCCACAGAATATTGATGTTTTATCATAGTGAAATTTCGGAAATGTGTAAAAATATTGTTAAACTAAAATCATTAATATACTTCAATCTATGAATATGAAAAATCTCATTTCTCGTACAACGAAAAGCGGCTATCTTCGACACGAAGGTCGGGTAATTAAATTTGTTTGGTTCGTTGCTTACGAGCTAGGAAGTATGAAAATATGATCATGTGTTAATATCTCTAGTTAGATCACCGGATGAGTCTTTAAGAAGAAAAAACTACTAGAACGAAGGTTCTACATCAGAATTTACGCCGTTCGTTTTATAATATAATACTTACCTAGATAATATTCTAATTTACTTTCTCGATTTAAGATTTGTATAATGCATCCTGAACTATTAATAAATTCCGGAAATAAATAACTATAGAACATTAATTAGGACCACGATTTTTTCATTTTATAACTTCAGAATGTCCTCCAAATAGCTATGCTTGAGGATCCATTAATGAACTAGTCGTGGGTATTTGAGTGTTTACATTATTCGATTCTATTCGAACGTACGCTAAATGCGTATACACAACGATTTGCATAAAAATAATTAGTTGATTAGTCGCTTCAAAAATCGACTGTGTATTATTTATCACCGTACAGATAATTTACCTGCATAAATCTCAAATTTTCAATCCAATATTGTAGCTGCAGGTATGTTAAGGTTACCTACATTATGGTCGGTTTTAAAAATTAAGAGGTACACCTATCATACTGTGCATTAGATCGTTATGGTATTTCAATAATATTAGGTGCTTCAGACACCACGATTCATAATATTATACATCCTGACAAATATGCCATAAAACGAAATAATAATACATAAGTACTCAACTTGACCTCAACTTTGTTATGACATTGATCGTACAATTAATGCTTGTAAAAATCATTAGTTGTCGATAGTGCTTCCAAAGTACATGTAATGGAATTTTTTGTAAAAATAAATTTTAAGTTATTGCTTAGAATTTTTCGTCTATGATAAAACTAAACCCAAAAAATATATTTTTTTAAATAATTATGAAATATTGTTTATTTTTTTATTAACATTTTATTCTGTGTGCAATTTAAACTGTGCGTGTTACCCTATAATGTATCTTTTTATTGTTTCACACTCTTATATGCGATTAGATAGAAATCTTAAAGGTTACGTATATGTATTTATATGATGTTGGATTTAATTTCCCATTAAACTTTCCAACTAACGTCTATGATGAATTTAAACCAACAAGCAGCTGGTCGTCTTTGGACATTATTGTAGGTAAAAGTTATTAATCCTACTCTACATATTATTATCATAAATTAATCCTGTTCCTTATAATTTGCTGTCATTCTTCTTTTTTTAGCGAAGATGACTAATATTATACTATTAATCTCGTATACACTCGTATAGAACATTTCATAGCTTTCAAATATTAAATATAATAATTACGGTACAATGCGGTTCCGCGGTCGGAATAATCTTCGGACCGCAAATAAACAATAGGAACCCGGAACAATTGTTCAACCCGAATGGAAAAAATTAGGTACGAACGGCTAATAATATCACTCATCATTTAATTACGCCGCCGTTCATAATTAATGTATTATGGTTTCGTGTACATTTTTTTCAACTTACCGATCCTTGAATTCCATGGCAAAAAATCTATGAAACTTTGCCTCCTGGTCCGGCCGTTCGTGTCGGCCTGAAACAATAAAACAAAATCAATCGATATAAAATCTTGAGTGTGTTATACAATTATATTAACGTCAACGCACAAAGGAAATGTATACTTTTATGTATTACAAATAATTTAATATAGATCACGGTCCGGTCGTAAGCGCACCACTTTCGCTGCAGTCCGATTCGATGGAAATTCAAATAAGGCGAGGACGACATATTATTGTTATGACGTAATTCGTACAGCTGTGTATGACACTTCTACGCATTGACCACATCGTGTTTTGTAGGCGCCTACAAGTTACAACACGACCACGAGAGCTGTTTTGGAGGCTTTGGGGGTGGAGGTACATATTGTGAACACACGCGGAGCACCTGACGTCACCGCGACCGTAGGATCGGTCCACCGTGACCAAAACTTTTATAGACGGATTTAAAAAGAAAACAGTTTTGATTCCCACATCTCCACCGAGTCACGCCATTCACGAATTTCGATATAATTATCGGTGTATTTCTTAGCGCCTCCTCAATGTTGACATCTGTGGCCACGAAATCGAGGGTATCCTGCATATCAGATACTACGACACTGGTTACTACGACACTGTCTTATGTATATAGGTATCATTGAACACGTGGACGTAACTTTTTAGCCGAAATGGGACGTTTTGGTTGAGGAGGTGGGTGGATGAGTGCGGTGTTGTGACTTAAACTCAGAAATTTACGATTTCCTGTCGTGTGCCGAGTAAAAAAATATCGAGTGGGCATGGCGTTTAACATTATTGCAGTTGACAGGCGTATAATAGTCAAAAAGGTGAAAACGAAATTAGAATAAGATTAATCCGTATATACAACTACGAAAGACAAAATGAATGTTATCGTCGCACTATTATAATATATTTATTTGTTATGAGCAACTCAATGATGTATGCGTTTACTGTGACCTATGCGACTTTACGAGAATAAAATATGACTGCAAAATCAACGGTGCAACCATAACGGCATACGCCTGTGCCCAATATATATAATAATGTAATTTTGTATTGTATTTTATAATCGAGAGAAATCGGCGGAGAAGCGCTAACGTCCGTACAAAGTTAGACCTCAAGTGTACACCTCTTAGACTCGCTGTATAGCGTCATAAATGCCATCATGTACGTTGTACGTAGTGCGTGTACACTATTGTTGTGACCAACGACCATACGTTTATTGTTTTATTCTCACTCTTATGTAATGCCGATGACCGTTTAGGACGTGATGTCTTATCGACGTGTCTTGCATATTTTTTTTTTTTTTTATTAAGCCCATTAACAAATATTTATTAATAATAATAATAGAATTGACGATCCGTTGGACATGATTATATTGTTTCTGACCAATAATACTTTATTCCACGTTTCTCTAATTATTGCAGTATTTGATTGGTCCCATAATGAAATTCTTTAAATCGAGCGAAATATTTTCGGATTAATGGAAATTACATTTTAAAACCAATACCATAATAATGTTAGTCGATATACTTCGTACGTCACACACGTATTCGAAATGTATTGATGACTGTTTACTATTTCGTAATTTATTATGATTTAATGTGAAATTGTATGCGGAAGAAAAACCGCACGAGAAAACGTTGAGTGCAAAGTATTATTAAATCGCGTGATACGAGTTCAAAATTTCTCTTACTGAAATTGGCATTTGTAAAGCGCCAAATACGATTGGTCTGGAATACTAAATAGCTATAAATTATGTGAACTTATTTTTAAAACAATAAACATAAATTTATATTATTCCCAACTTTTGATTGAATTTATTTTAATAAACGATTTGTAACGATAAAATGTTTCTACATTTTCAGCCATATACCATATAGGTAAGTACTGACAACTGTATAACTAATTGGAATATCATTTTTTTATACTATAATTTGCATTGTCTGGTACAATAATCGCCACTGGCTCAACTCAAGGGTGTTCGTGACTAGAAGATTTTAAACAACGATTATTATTTTCATAAACTGTGTACTAGATCAGAATTTATTGAATTTAAAAAATCGTGTGAAATAAATTAATAAAGATTATTGTAAATACTATGCAGACAACGCGATGAAACAAATCGATGACTGTTTCAGATAATATGATATCATTGGACTATAATAATCGTGCACTATACGCTTTAGTCCGGGTCAGTGGCGGATCTAAAAAAAAAGGCCCGGTCGGACATTTAAAATTGGGGCCCACGCCTCCCCTATTCCCTAATTATAATATCTTATTTAAAATGTTAAACAGGGTTGGGGGGAGAAGTATTTATATATTTAAAATTAATTCAAGAATACATACATAATAAAATACTTTAACTTATTTAATTTATGTTACCAACTCGTATAACAATCGAAAATTAATAATATTGTAAAACGTAAATATAAAATAAAACACTTATTTATAATACATAATATTTATTATAATTTATAATAATTCACTTTTATAACCTTTTCTAGCTTTTTTTTCTGAAAAAATTTTGATGGTAGATTGTAAATCTATTAATTCTGCTGTATCTCTTTCTATGTAAAGCATTGCATAATCATTAAGATAAATAAAGATAAGTAAAGATAATATAGGTTTATTTAATGAGAAGTCACTTGATGAATCCTGAACATTGGTTTGATGAATATTTAACTCAAATGAATCAGACGTACAGTTTATAAGTGAAGAAGATATATTTGAAACCGATTTACGAGTAGTTAATAAATTTTTTTTATCAACGTTTTGAGAAGCATCAGGTATTGTGATCGGAGAGCTTTCAAATTGATTAAAAAAATCCCCAAGTACTTTTTGTTTCTTGTCAGATTTACATTTTTCTAGTTCCCTTCTTTCTTTTTCTTTCCGTTTTAAACTTCCCGATTTGTGTTTATAATTTGAATTGTAAGGATTAGACATTTTTCAACTAAAGATAAAATAAAAATTATTAACATATTTATCTATCTACCTATCAATGTTTCATAAATTATATTTATACAACTAATATCAATAATCTAATAATTCTTATTATAAAAATACTAATTAATAATTTAATTAATAATACATACATTTTATAGTTTATAATAAGACGTGTTCTTCAATGATGTTTCGTACGTCGTAACCGCTCAATAAAAGAAATATAAATGGCAAATATAAAAGTAATTTGACATTATATAAATATAAGATAAAATATACATGGGTCGATAAACGTCGACGACAATCGATAAACGTCGACGACAATGGGAATTACCAGTTATTAGGTACTTTTAGCTCACTGCTATAATATCATAATATTCTGTATTATATAACAACTTTTAATAATATGGTTTATTATAGTATAATTATTTTAATACACTTATTTTTTTTATTTATTAAATCTAGTGTTATCCCTATTATTTTGGCCAAAGGGGCCCCTACGTCCGGGGCCCGGTCGGACGTGTCCAGGTTGCCCGGGTGTTAAATCCGCCACTGGTCCGGGTTACCTTAATATCGCAAGGAAATCTACAAATCTAATGAAAAATATTTCAACACACTATAATATGATTGTTTTGTACCGTGCGCATATGGAATAAGAAATTTAGCGTCTACTTGAAAATCGCAACACTTTCCCGGATATTTATATCATAATAATATATACAAATCATTGGCACGTGATGGGTATACGTATGGTTTTCATCGTTCTCACTCAATTTTCGTTTTTTAAACTATTTTATGACCACGTTATTACCTGTGTACGTTTATCATCGGAGAAATCGCGCAATGGTAAATTTTCGTTTTAAAATTTTAGTACTGCAATGCAAATTATTACATGCGATCCAATGATGTTTGTATATATATCTACAACGCACACGTACACTATAAACGTATTAGTGTCGGAGCCACGTACATGCAGCAGCAACACATATACCTACGTGATGTGCAGTTCACTACCGAATCCAACGCAATGAAATAAAATGTTAAGGTAATTTTTTTTTTATCACGGAAACGATTTTATTTTTCAATGAAAGGTTACTACCTTATTCATACGTAAACACTATTATGACGAGTACCTGTTAAGTACCTGTTTTCGGGATAGTGCCGTTCGCCGTACGCGGTACATAATAATGATAAATAATAATATACATGTCCGTGAAGCCGACCCTCCCGAATCATCGGGTCGATTCCAAATAGTGGCAAACGAGTGGAGCGAAAAGTCGCAAGATATTTGCGCCGATTTGGAGCCGACTACTCGCGGCGACCACTTGACGATCACTCGACGAAGATGTCGACCGCGGTTTAAAGTTTGAATTGCAGCAAAAATATTAGGTTGAAATTATTGCGTTATAAAATTATGTTAGCAAGAAAGTTGATCAATATTGGCAACTGACAATCAATAATTGTTTACTCCGGGAGGAGGATGCGGGGAAATTTCATGGGCATTAATAATCATGGCAAAACTTATTAAAAATATTTTAAATGTGTGTATTGTGAGTATTATAATATATGACGCGTAATTGCAAGTACCACCACTGGCCACCAGCGCGATGGGCACAAGTACCCACCTGTTGTGCACATACAATGATGATAATAATAATATGCTAAACTGCCATAATGATATGGATTGACGATATCTAAAAACGGTCGTCGACGGATTATGATGGGGCTCCTATACATGGACTATACTCGTTTCTTATACAATAATATGCAATTACGTGTGCGTATAATACGAGTATACGTGCACCACCTAATTATTGTCATTATAATAATTCGTATCATTATAATACTATTATTATTATCATCATCATCGTATACAGGTACCGGTGAAACGTGGTGGTCGTCGTCGGAGACGGCGGAGGCAGATCGATCGCTTTCGCGGGAATCTCCGCGGTCGTCCGCAATGTCAAGATCGCATGCACACTCGTACGTTTTATGCCCACACACACACACCCGTCGCACGTTACGATGACAAAACGGTAGAAAGTCGATTTGCATACGCCGCACGCGTTTCGTGCAGTAAATACCTCATGAGTCCGTTAATACTAGCTGACACTGCATCGCGCAGACAATGGACCGTCGTGGCACGCGACTTTCCGAAACGCGCCGCGCCCACCCCGTCCGTGTCGGTGCAGATGACATCTCATTCGCGGGTTAGTCCGAGTTGGAAAACCTTAAAATGTTATCGAATGAAAACCCCGCGAAAACACGATTATTGATTCCGTCTAATTGAAATCAGCAGCCGACGTTATAATATTATATGTTACCTAAATATCTAACATAATATATATATATGCATACAATAAATAGCTAAACAGTCCCCAAGAGAGACTTTACTGGCTTGGTCACCCCTCCCAAACTGTGCAATGTTGTATCGACTATGCGATAGTTCACGATCGAGCATAATATTATATTATATTATCATCGTGATCATATTTTGTTAAAAATGTTCGCGAAAGTACACTTTGTTTTATTTTATATTAACCGTTACCAGGTGCTATCCGATACAGTTGTGGCTGCTGTTAATAATACGCAATAAAGATGGTCCAATATATCCTTAAACAGCACCAAAATTCCTTGAAAGAAAAGAACCAAAAAAGTAATTTTGAAGAATCTATCATTTTATATGGGTACTTATTTTGTCATTATTTATTTTCTTTTAATATATTGTACCTATAGCCGTTTTACTATGTATAATTTCTTTTTCGAGTCATATAACTAGTTTAAAATTCTAAACTATAAGCACCTTGTCAGTTTTATAAATTACTTTTGGAAATTTAAAAACAAAAATACGTGAAGAATATTAAAATCTCACAATTACGTCCACGAGCTTTGATCTAAAACGTATAATAGTAAATATTATAAAATATTGTGCAGGACACGAGGTCATCAATTCTTTATTTGTACTCATCTGCTGATTACATTATATAATACGACAAAATGATGATGTGCATTGTCACACGATTTGACTGCAGCGCATTATAATAAACTGCATAATATGCAAGTCGGCGCCCGAAACAAAACAACACAACAACTACGGTTTATGGCGTACCCGCCTACGATTTTTGAGCGTTTCACGAACTCGACGACGATGATAATAATAATAATGATAATGACAAAAATGCTATAAATAACTATCTAAGCTCATTCGTGACCGCAGAACACAAGCATATACGGTATAATATATCGTACACCTATATACGGTCTATCTGCATCATGTACCGCGTAATACGACAGCAACGCGTGACCCTTACCACGGTTACCTACCTACCTCAACACCGCCGCCGCCGCCGCCGCCGCCGCCGTCGTAATAACAATATTACAATAATAATAATATCGAGCCCCAAACGCGCCGAGAAATAATAGAAAAAAAAATACAATATAATATAACATAATACTGCACATGATCGTGATGGGTATACCTGCGTCTGAGGTCCATATAGAATCGTTACTAGTCGAGACGTGCATCAATAAAGACGCACTCGCGATATAAATTATTATATTATTGTATATTATTATTGTATTATAATATATTATCATGTTGTAGTAATGGTTATATAGTGCGTGTATTACGTACATTGTAATTATATTATATACGTATATAGATCGTGTGAGAGGTTTCCGACGCGGTCGCTCCATAACCGCATGGTCTCCGACGATAAATCATCTGCTAATTAATGAAAGATGCTTGACGATAATATAATAATTTATATTGTACCTGCGTTCGAAACGACAGCATCAAGAGAAAAACTGACGCGCGACCACGGTTAAAAGACTATATTATTATTATTATTATTATTATTATTGTGGTTGTATAATACGATTAGGTAGCTATATAGTAACCATTATAATATAGCTATAGCGTTAAATTCCTTTCCGATTGTCATCAACTACAATACTAAATAGGCAAATATTACATATATAGTCGCGCGCACGTATGCATGTAGATGCCGACTATACAGCCTTTTACATCGTTATTATGATAAACAATGTATACGAAAAAAATATTATTAATAAACCGTTTTCATCGTCTCAGACGTCGTCTACTCCTCGTTATTGCCTCCTTTACATATACCTAGGTAAATGCGTACATGTAGTGTATAATGTAAAAATGTGATTTTAATTGGACCAAAACAAAATCTAAATACGAAATAATAACAAACTCGGCGCCGAACGTGCCTCAATTAACCGTACTAAACAATAATTGTTATGTTAAAAAACGAAAATTGTTAAAGCGGGGACCCGGTTGACATTGGACTCTCTGGTTAAAAGACTGTACGCACATGCATATTACGGCAGTTTGGTAAACAAATGGCGGAATTATTGTAATACGATAATTACCTAATCTGTGCAACGTAAATGGTCTTGACCTAAAATCCGGACAACTGTCTTTTTTATGAATGACCAAAAAAAAAAAAAATCTCGTAAATCCGCTGCACCGCGACGACCATTTATGGGCTTTTTATCTCGTACCTACAAGTCATTTCGTCTGTACGATTTGCATTTACGTCGTCGTCTGCAGTTGTCTCACGGTGAATATATACATATATATATATATATCATAATAAATAATAATGTGATAAAAAATTTGCATTTATCTCTTTACGCACTGCACACGAACCGTTATGACAATATTTTATTTCCGGACATCTGTGCCAATAACCGACGACGACTAACTGTATCTTATTATAGTACGTCCGAGATGCAATCGCGAATCGATGTTTTTTTTGTTCTAAACGTTTGCTTATGCGAAACGACAATAATAATAATTATTATTACTATCGACGACGACGACGACGACGACGACATTATAACAATATCGTATCTCACGTCCTGTGAACTTGCAGGGAAAGATGGAACGTCGCATCATGTATAATTATTATATTTTAATATCATGCAAATGCGGTAGGTATATAGGTAGGTATGTAAAAAACAATAGCTTCGGGTATTTCAATGGCACCGTTGTTATCGTATACGCCTATTCGATATATTATTATTGCCAGTATACTATCCATACAGACTGTCAAGTCGCAAACAATATCGTAATGAATTCGTTAGACGATGATCACCCGTATGGAGATCGTATTCCGAACCTATCGATACGCAGTTGTTGGCGCACACAAGATGAACGATGTACCTACATGATATACGTCCACGCTCGTTTCACAATCCAAATATTACTAATCCAAACGTTTTAAATGTAATTATTTATATTTTATTTGTGTCGTAATCGTTTTCGCATTATTTTCTTGGAAATAAAATGCGCGACAACCACTCT